AAAAATAAAAAGAAAAGTCAGTTTATATATAAAATAATGTAGATCAATTTTGACTCTTATTCTAATGTTGTTTTATTTATGGCAATACTATAGTTATAATGTCATTTATGATTATAAGTTTATAATAATAATGTGATATTATATGAATGAATACATATAATATTACAAGTGAATTTTTTAATAAAAAGAATTAATTATATAATGACACATTATATTGTAACTTTATAATATTATATGATATTATAATAATAATATCTTTATTTCATTTAATTAAAATTCAATTCAAAATTTAGAATTCAGAATTTAGAATTCTACTTTATTAAATGTTGATACAAGTGGTTTCTAAATGTAAGCATTAACATTTAATAGAATAAATTTTTGCATTTTGAATTTAGTTTTTTATTTCTAAATATAAAGATCAATATTTAATAAAATGGACTTGTAAATTCTAAATTAAGCTTTAATTAAATAAGATGATGTTGTCTAATGTTGAAACTTCAATTTTTTTAAAAAAATTTGAGATTGACATGCGCTATATTCATGTATATATTTATATTAGTATTTATCTATCTTAACTCTTAAAAATTAAAAATAAAATTATGTCTTTTAAATAAAATACTATGAGAAAATATTAAAAATAATATAATACGTGTTTTAAAAGTATGAAATTTTAATTTTTTTAAATAAAAATTATTAAAATAATATAATTTATTTTTTTTTTAATTTTTAAAAAATATGACAAATACATTACTTTCTATATACATAAATATATATATTAATCCTGATGTTTAAAAAAAAAAAATTGGAGTTGCAAAGAGAGTGCATCATCATTAAGCAAGTTGCACTATCCTCGTGTATGTATTGTATACATTTTTTTTAAAAAAGCAAAAGTAATATTTATTGAAACGGAGTACAAAAAATATTCTAAACCCGTGGACATCTCAGTTTAAAAGGCAAAGAGTTATATAGTCAAATAACCCTTTCGTTCGGTGTCGACATCTATATTATGTGTATGTATTGTATACATTTAATTTGAAGGCAAGGGAGATCGCAACTAACTCTTGCCGAGTTGCGGAGAAAGGGCATCACTAAGCTGGATGCGTTTCCCAAGAGCATGTACATTGTATTTTTTTTTTTTTTTTCCACAAAAATAGAACCGAGCACGAACACCAGTAACAATAAAGGGAGAACAGTGATCAAGTTTGGCTTTTTTTTTTTTTTGAACAAAGTTGAGTTTGGTTAATAATATTTACCCTTACCCTAAAAAGAGCAAAATTTTTTGACTGACTGACACACTACCAGCCTATGTCAGTTGGTCAAATCATATGCAAGGAGTCTCTTGACCTCTTATTATCCATTTTATCTTTTATTTTCCATTCTTTTGTCTTTTAGTTGGTCTATGTTCTTAATCCACCATCTTAAAAATTTTCTTTTGAATGATAGCCGGTGGATGTATCAACAAATAACTCAATATATATATATTTTAAATATTTTTAATTTCATTTTTTTCTTTTACCATGTATTTTTTAAAATAATAATTTAAATATATAAAATATATGTTAAATAATATAATAGTAATGTGACTTTTAAAGAAATTTTGTTTTGTTATATACCTAAGAGAGAGAATTTTATTAAATATACTATTTAAAAATTAAATATATAAAAAGATATTTATATAAAATAATATTAAATATGATAATATGGCATTAAAGTGAGCTTTTTGGGTTGTTCTCCATTGTACATACTTTGGGTAATATTTTAATGGATAAGAGTTTTATCTTCATACATACTAGAAATTTTAAATTTAAACTATAAAATAAATAAAAAAATGTTTGAGAAAGGTAAAACTATTTTTATTGTATAACTTACCATTAAATATATAAAAAATAAACTAAGCTAAATGCCTAGGTGGTGAAAGGAAAACTGAGTTGTATGACAATAGTATGAGTTTGAATCCTTAAACAAGCTTTATGAGAAAAGTCAAACTTGATATAGTATGAAGAGAAATAATAAATACCTTTTAAAGAAGTTACTTAACTAATTAAGAGTTTAAAATTTTAATTTATAAATCTTATGTTTGAATCTTGATTTGAGTGGAAGAGATTTAAGAAAAGGAAATGATTATAACCTCTTATACAACCTATTATCATATTTTTTTAAAAAAAAATTGATGGAATTAAGGCAATGCATGAAAGCAAAAGGTGAATTAATTTGGAAAACAAAGTCCAACCAATTTCTTGATATTTTTGGGCTTTGAGAGTGACCCCATAGGAAGACCTTAGAAACTAGAGACTAATATTAATCTCCATTCGTTCATAGAGTGAAGCTTGATCCTTAATTGCCAATTGGAAATGTTTTTTTTTTTTTTTCTTGGGAATTTAATTAGTAATGGTTTGTTATATATTCCAATGGGCTTCCAGTGGGTTAACAATAGCCTAGTAGTTTCAGATTGGCCCGGTTATGCAGGTCCAGTTCATTCCATTCGGCTTCTAGTGGGTTAACAAAAGCCTAGCAGTTCTAGATTGGCCCTTTGCAGCTCCGCTGGCCGAGTTCATCCTGGGCCCTGGCTTTTCTACCAGGAAGATCCCACTAGAATTGAAAGGAAATAGAGATGGACTTGTCTACCTCTATCTGTTTGGCTGCCAAGAAAACGCAGGAAAAATGGCACAAACCCACTAGAATTGAATTGATGTCTTGGGCTCTTGTGTTTTCAGTTCCTTTCTATTCTTATCTGTTGTTGTTTGTAGTATCGTGGTCTAAGCATCCAATGAGCTCGTGTTAGACTAGTGGAAACTCCAAACAACAAGAGAGTTGAGTTCTCTCTACGGTATATCCATGGAATTGGCCGCTCTAGGGCTCAGCAGATTCTCTCTGATCTCAACATGAAGAACAAGATCACTAAAGACTTACGTGAGGAAGAACTGACTAATTACCATCCGTAAGGAAGTCTCCAAGTACATGATTGAAGGGGATTTGGTAATGCATGGTATTTTCACTTTGAAGATAATTGATGTCTCACACTATTCTAATGTTTCAAACCAAATTTAAGTTTTGTCTTTGCAGAGGCGGTTTAATGCACTTGCTATAAGAAGATTGAAAGAGATGCGATGCTACAGAGGTATTCGGCACGTTCAAGGCTTGCCGTGTAGGGGACAGCGCACAAAGAACAACTACCGCAGCCTGAAAAGGTAAGAGCGTAGCTATTACTGGAAAGAAGAAAGCCCCTCGTTGATTGAATGGACTGGAGAATATTGATTATAGATTTCAGATGAATCAGTTTGTTGTATACAACTCAATTGCTTTTGAGCAGGAAATTAGATGTCTTACCTTGAAGCTCCTTTCGCAGCAGATTTATTTGTTTCACATCTTATTTGAACTTCTCA